GAGCAGGAAATTGATAGTTTTTCTCCTTCAACAAGAAATTATTTCAACCGGATTTCATTAGCATCGCTTCGTATGCAAAACCTGATCGAATCGTTGCTCAACTATTCGAGAACGGGTTCTTCTGATCGGTTGTTTGTGAAAACCGATCTCAATGTTTTATTGGACGAAGTGAAAAGCACGTTACAGGACGCAGTCGAAGAAAAGAATATTGTGATCGAGTCTGATAAGCTGCCAACTATGGAAGTGATTCCACATCAATTTACGCAGTTGCTATTGAACCTGCTTTCAAATTCGATCAAGTACCGCAAGCCTGGTGCGGCTTTGCTGGTACAGATAAAAGCGGAGAAGGTCAAGGCCGGCGATCATCCGGGTGTATCCGAAGCGAGCAATACGGATATCTGGAAGATATCAGTTGCAGACAACGGCATTGGTTTCGAGCCTGAATATGAACGTAAAGTTTTCGAGCTTTTCCAGCGGTTGCATGGCCGTGATGAATACAGTGGTACCGGTATAGGCCTTGCCATCTGTAAGAAGATCGTACAAAATCATCATGGATCAATCACGGCGAAAGGCAGACCGGGCGTCGGCGCGACATTCACCATCTACCTCCCGGAAAATCATATACCTGCCTGAGTTGTTGGCAGCAGAAAGAAATAATTAAAAGAAGAGACAAAAAAAGAGGCTACCAATGCAGCCTCTTGTATTGATGTGTTGTAAAACTACCATGTCTTTTCAAATGACTTCTTATCCATTTGTGTGTTGATGTCAATAAAATACGAGTTGTATTTGTTAGACAGCATCAATGGATCTTTCTTTCCAAATAGCCTGGAAATAACCGCGATGGGAAAAAGAAACAGGAAAAAGATCGCGCTGAGCAAAATATTGGGAACAATATATCCCAGTATTTTCGACAGCTTGTTCCATCCCCATTCTATTTTTTGGCTGAGAAAGGTCGATATCAATGCGAGGACACCCACGCCCAGTGAAACGTAAAGGGCCCATTTGACATGTAACGCCAGGTAAATAACCAGGAATCCCATGCAAATGACGAGTACGGTGGATTTCGATGTATCTGTTTTATTAGATGTGGCGGATTGCATATTTCTTCTTTATTAGAACAATGTATAAATAAATGGTGCGATGGCACTACCGCCTCCGAACACAATGATTACGCCCAACAGGATCAGCACGATGATTACCGGCGCCAGCCAGAATTTCTTCCGCTCTTTCAAAAAGAGCCACAAATCTTTTAAAAATGACATAGTTTATTTTTTTAGTGTTTAGTATTCTTGAAATATTGATATAAAACGTGTGCGACAAATTCATGGCCATAGGCTGCCCAATGCCCATCATAATCTGACTCAAACCTTTTC